GCTTTAAAGGTGGAGTCAGCGATTCAGGAGAGTGATTGTTGATATAGACCCTTTAACTGTTAGTAAACAGTATGATGTTTTTTGGTGGGCGGGGCTTAGCTGGAGGCAAAACAATTCTCCACAGACATTAGCTAGTGCGAGCTAGCAAGTACTGTTGGCTTGATTTAGACAATGGAGGAAGATGATGTGAGTGGTGCATTCAGGAATACTCATTCTGAGTGTCGGAGCGCAGTCTGACACAAATTCAGAGCGCTGTCTGAATGTAGCGTTGGGTTATCCAGAGCAGCGCACTCTCAGAGTGGCAGAGCGCACTCTGGACACTCTGTCTGTGAAGGACGGAGCAGCAGAGCGCCGAGCGGAGTGAATGTGTGATTAACTTAACTGTTGGTTCATTCATGTAGAAATATAACGCTGCGTTTCTTCCACCAACAGGGCTCTCATTTTAGTGTAGAGCGTCAGACTGAATTTACCAACGCACCATGTCAGGTCACTCACTCTCCGGGACCGCCAGTGTTACTTGAATAAGTAAACACTGACCAACGGGACCAGACTGGCCGACCCGTATGCTCTCACTCAGTGGATGGATGATGTCACAGGAAGCCATTCTTACAAAGGAGGACCACACTTGTTTGTTTTGCTATGGAAGCTAACGTTAGCTAATGTGCTAAATAGTTAGCGTTCCAGAGAAATCCAATATTCCTCTTAATCTCTCCCCAGTTTCTGATGAGGTGGACATGATAACCCTTAATACACATAACCTTATTCATCCCTACAACAGGAAATACTTTGGAGCCATGACTCCTTCTATTCTGGCTCCAATAACACAACAAGACAAACACATTTTAAGACTCCTATGTAGCCTACAGCCCTGTGGGGGAGAGGCAGCTGCACCTCCAGCTAACAACCTGATGCCGTCATGACGTCGGCCCTAAAAGGGTCTACTGGATTAAAAACGCTGACTGCACCTTTACGTAGACTTGTAGCAGTTTCCTGGGCAACAATGAATATTATGATCATTATACTGACATGCACAAACATATTATTAAATCGGGGATGCTTAATTGAGTTTTAAAAACTGCAAACACTAAATTGCTGAACTCCCAGTTTAATTAAATCAATCGAACATAAAATAGCTTTGTGTGTGAGCTGTTGTTTAGTGCAGTGTATACACCTCCACCGATGATACACAGCTGTCAAGAAGATATTGTACTTCATGTTGGATTCCTGCCATGTTCACACACTGACCTTTAAACAAAGCCCAATGTAAATCCCGTCTGAGGTAATATATCCTGCGAGCAGACAGACATCATGAAATGAAAACACAGCTCCAATCCAGTGTCTGTTGGTGAGATCCTGCATTACATAACCAACAACTACCATATTCAGGTACTCCAGCAACTTAGTGTTGCACGTTTCTTGAGGAGATCTGGACCTTTACACTGGCTTGCAATTTCAAAGAAGTTCTTGCACACCAGAAAGTCTATGTGACAGGTGCATGGGCAAACATGCCCATATGATCCATATGAGCTCTTAGTCTGATTATGTGTTGCAACTGCAAGTATCTGCATTAAAGGCCTTAAGTTTTTATGCAAGTTAACAGCTCCAAAGGTGAATGTATTGGTGCCTTGGGAAAAGTATAAATGCATATATTCATTTTTTTTTTTACAGGCTTTCCTCTACACAAGTTAATATTTAGCCTCATAAGACCGTCCTGATGATATGAACTCAAAAGACTGTTTCGCTCTCTGTATCAGTTTGAACCACCCCAAACACGGGAAAACTTGCCTTGACAGACAAACTCCTTCAGTCAGTCAGTGGTTAAACGACTATGAACACTGGATTTGTCCTGAGGAACGGTGTCCCCAACTTGGTGACTTCCTCGCTAGATTTGTTTTAATTCTAAAACGTGACTTATTACAAATTTTGCATCTTTCTAACACCATCAGGTTAAAAGCAAGAAATGTATTCAGATATACTGTATTTTATTCCCATGCATGCTGCACAGAATAATCACAGTCTACAGCTCCTCTGCTAAGTCTCTTCCCCTCTGTTGCACAGCAGCACTGTGCAGGCACCAGCTGGGCCTGGGGCAGACGCAGGGTGAGCAGCGGGGAGGACGCCATTGAGCATCCTTCGTGACTGAGGCTTCATTGAAGGTTGTGTGTTATTGATCTTACGCTCCCAGTTTGGACAGGTTAGGTCCGTTCTTAAAGTGACAGCAGAACACAAACTAACTGCCCGATCGAGGGGCAGCAGAAGACCACAGACTCCCTGTGTTCTGACTATGTGATGATTGTTTGTATCAATGGAGTCCTGTGGCTTTGAGGAAAGCATAACGTTGTGACGTCCGTTTCTCGTTATAGAGAGCTGTCTGACAGCGAGGTGAAGCTGTGAAAGTATTGTAAATATATTGTACACTTAAACTGACGATTGTTTTTTAGGTGGTGATATTTTAATGCGACTAAATTATGTTTTGCTGCTGCCCCCGTCCACAGTCACCAGACTCCTTTGACAGAAACACAGATTTCGTCTCATAGCTCTCACGCCATTCAAATGCTTTGTTGAGGATTTTTCTGTTGAATTTAATTTATTAAGGTGTCGGAGGAATGTGGAGAATGTCTTTTCCTTTGAGAAACTCCACTAGCGCATGTTCTTGTTCTTGTGTAATTGTTGTTGTTGACTCTATTTCTGCAATAGCTTCACTTATTGCTGTGTTTACTAACGTAAGAGTTGGAATGCTTCCACACCTGCCCTGTTTGGTTCGGTTCAATCAAACTCAAGTTCGTTTGCCCCCTCAGTGTGGTTCATTTGGGCAGGTGTGAACACAGCAATCACACTCAGGTGTGCACCAAAACAACCAGACTGAGACCTTCTTGAAGAGGTGGTCTCTGTCTGGTTTCATATGAACTCTGGTGCGGTTGGTTTGTGGTGAGAAGGTGTTCCGACCTGGATGTGAAGCAACTGCAGTCACATGACACATTGTTTGGGTTAAACATGAGCATGTTACAGTCCTGGAGGATTATTAATGTGCACCTCCTCCTGTACTGCCTTAATATGCACATTCAGCACATCCAAAGCATCAAAACATTGTTTTCTAGTTGGAGCCGCACCTCGTTTTCAAACTGTATGGTTTGACTAAAATGAACAATGACAGCAATATAGTCCACGATGAGCAGCGCTAAAATCAACCTGCGTAGTTGTCCCTCCATTGTGACATTAGAAAGTGTCACATTTATCTTGCAAGTGTACTCTTCTTCAACGTTTGCTTTACTTCCTGGATTTTTCCTTCATGGAAATTCTGACCAATCAAGAGCAGCTTTCTCACACAAGGCATTTGATCTGGTCCTCTTGTAAATGCTGCCGTGAGAACACGAACCAACTCTAGGCAATTATACAACTTTGGTACAACATGAGTCCCTGATTCAGACCAAAGGAGACGACTCTAGGTCTGAGAGCAGCCTTAGAGTTAGCGCTTGTTGCTTCGGGACCCGCCATTACTGTTCTGAAGCTGTGGCCTGCATTGTACGTCATCTACTACAACACAGTCCCTGATTGGCCCTGGTTGGACTTTAATGTCTGGCAAGTGTTTTGGGCGGCGACGAGTCCAGACTGATACATAGAGCGAAACAGGATGTTGAGCTCACGCCATCAGGACGGTCTCACCAGGCACCTTAATAGTCTCTTCATTTACATTTTTATAACACCTCTCCACTACACTGTACACAAATATAGCTTCAACTATCCCAGACCACAAAAATAACATATATAAATTCTTAAATTTAGTGGTATTCCTCTTTAAGTAGCTCATCTACAGTCTAAACAATCTGCTCCTGCACAGAGAACAACCATATATACAGTATATACTGTGCACCCACATGTACAGTTTGTCATGTTAAAGCTTTGCGTGGACTACAAGTGACACATGAATGGAAAGCGCAGGCCGGGTGAGAGCTACATACTGCATAAGGATATAGTTTGTTGTAACCCAGCGGACGTGAGTGCGATCATGGCTGCGGCCTATATATAAACACAGCACCGTAAGCATGTGGCACACACACTAGTGTACAGCACTGCGGAGTGAAACATGACCTGGATTATGAGGAAAAAGGCTACTAAATATTTCAACTTGATACCCCAGCACTTTGCTTTGGGACACATGGCAATAAGGTTAGCAGATCTATCCTCTGTACACAGACGCCACAGCGAGCCCTTGTCCTTCCAAACATGTCTCCTGCTCTCCTCACAGTCCTTCTCTTTACCAGTTGTTTGTGTCTTTTGGTTTCAGCTGACTAATCTCATCTTCAGTGGACTTCTCCTCCACTAAAGCGCCGTGCATCTGTTCATTTCTAAAGAAGCGACTGATTTCCACGAGGCAGTTGGCCTGACTTTTTGATTCCCGCCTATCTTCCCGTCCATCTGGCTAAAAGTCGACGTACGTGGGAGGGAAACATTTTATACATTTCCACTTCTACTTTTTGGCAAAAATATTTTTTAAAAGGGTTTAAGGGCCCTGTCTAGTGTGTGTGTGTGTCTGTTTTTACATCTTCTGGTCTCCTTCTATCTCTCGACACACACTCTTAACCAGTAACGGGACGTGTCACAGGCACATGTAGGTGTCACCGGGGTAACCAGGAGGAAAGGACCTGAATAAAGATTAACATTCTATACATAAAAGCCTCATGTGATATAATTAATCCGTCTATTCTATACATTAGCATCCTACTTTAAAAACAGACAGTTACGATGAAACAGGCGTCCTGTTGGGGATTGTCTTCTCGTGTTAAAGTCACCAGGACTCGCCCGGGCTCAGCTGTCACTCTGCCAGTATCTAAACGCCGCGGCGGCTGGTCACAAATCAGATCAGTGGGCGGAGCATCCAGTGTTCGTATGGATTACATCCTTCCATCGCTGCAGCCTGTCTGACTCTGAGCACACTCCTCTGCAGGAGACAAAGTCGTCTCTTGCCTCCTTCCACACAGGACTCGACACAGGAGGGGAAACATGAGCAGAAGAGGGAGCAGCAATCAGGTCAAGTGGTCCGATTGGTCCGTCGCCTCGTCTAAGTCATCCTCCTCCACTCTCATTGGCTCAACGGCCCCGGAGGAGTGTTGTGACTGGCTGGAGCATGACAGGTGGGAGGAGAGGCTGTGTGTGTCGTCGTCATCGTCTGCTATCACCGCCTTCTTTGCCCGCCGCTGCTCTTTCCTCTGCACCTCCTTCTCCGCCTCCTTCTCTGCCCTCTTCTCCTCCCCTCTCCTCACCCGCCTCCTCTGCTCCTCCACTGTCCACATGCTCTCGTCCTCATCCTCCTTCCCCTGCACCTCCCTGTCAAAGTCCAGCAGCTCCTCCATCATCTCCTCTATCTCCATCTCTCCGTCCAGCTCCTCCTCCACCTCCGACCGCAGCTCTCCCATGCTCTCAGTCCGGTTGGTGTCGTCCGTCTCCTCCTCTTCCCCGAGCCCCCTCAGCCTCTCGGGGGGGTCGCTGGCCTGACTCTCTCCGAACTCAAGGATGGTGGGGAGGTTCCCCTGCTTGGGACAGCGCTTCCTCAGGCTGACCAGGAAGGGCTGCGGCAGGGAGAAGATGTCCACGTTGTTGCCCAGATCGATCCACGTCACGCTGGGGAAACTGCCGGGATCCTGAGGGGAGAAATATCAACACACTGTATTAACATATCATCATCTTATTATATTGTAATATTATACATATATATATATATATATATATATATATATATTATTATATTACAATATAAGATTATTTTAAAGATTTTCTTTTAAAGATTATTTTAAGATAAAGATTATTTTTCTTTATCCATTGATCTCTTTAGCAGAGACGTCTCCTGATGGTTTGTGTTATTGTTTATTGGCGCACAGTAAATATGTTCTGTTCTTTCACTGAATCTTAAAAAGACAAGTGACTTTCTGACCTTCAGGGCGTCCGTCAGCTCCTTCAGAACAGCTCTGGTCAGCCTGTTTCCGTTCAGAGCCAGAGTCTCCAGGTGTGGCAGCGCGGCCAGCGTGGGCAGGAGCAGGAGGAACGCCTCGTCCGTCAGCTCGGTGAAGCCCAGCTCCAGGCTGACCACGATGGACGCGTGGCGCTGTAGGTGAGCACACAGACGCTCCATGTCCCGAGGCACCAGAGGGATACCGGACAGATCCAATGCTCCGCTGGACAGAGGGGCCGACAGCACCGCCTTCAAACTAGAGATGGACATATGAAGAAATATTAGAGCCATGGTGATACCATGCATCTGATTGATTATCTTAAATGTATGTATATTTCATCATGTGTTGCACTTGTAATCATTTTAATGGTCACTCTTGTTTCATACCTGCAGGTGCTCATAATAATCATATACAATAACACCTCCACTAATCATAAAACCTGCAACCTCACACTTGTCAAAGTGACAGCTCAGCAATGTGGTGATGTTTCCTTTACCACGTTTGTGTCCTATTGGCTGTAATTTATTCACTGTGAAGAAGCCAGTGCACAATACATCAAACAATAATGGACTCCACTGTTTCTTTCTTTAGATGTTCTGGTTTATGTGCCCAGTTTAGAGCAGACCCTCCAGATGTTACACCCTGACACAACGACATACTTCCATCGGTCATATCTGCCACAAAATGCAGATTTTCAGTTGGTAACGTTTGGGGCCGGTTGTTCATGCTACCAGGTGAGTGTGAGATGAGAAGAATAATACTCTCATATCTGTCTGTTTAAAATGAAGCTATGAGGCCAATTTGACAGGCTGTCTGCAAGGGGTCACTACAAGTCAGATCCACCCTCTCGCCCAAATATGGTCACTTCTGGCTCCATAAATCCAAGATGGCGACGACCAAAATGCCAAACTCGAGGCTTCAAAATAAGAGTCAACAAACCAGTGGGTCAAGTTGGTTATGTCCAATAGTTATGTACATTTTACGAGCTGGAGTCGGCAGCGTAGCTTAGCATAACGTCTGGAAATGGAGGGAAACAGTTAGCCTGGTAAGTAAGAAAGAACTGCCTGTGAGCTCCTCTAAAGCTCACAATTATAGTAGTAGTCTTCAACTTTTAGTTTCAGCAAGAGAGCAAACAACCGTCAAACTCAAACAAAATGTCAAACTATTTCTTTAGGTGTAAATTTCAGGTGTATCAGCACCTTCAAACCAAAATCAAAAAGCAATACCAGCTATATCTGCTCACTACAGCCCTGTGGTGAGTCCTACTGTCAATGCAAAGACAGGAAAGAATGAAGACAAGTCCACACTGCATGAGTTAATGTGCACAGAAAGTGAAAACTACACTACTACACTGATTAAACTACATAAGCAGACAAACACTGCAGCTGTGTGGCTCCCAGACAAAAACAGAGAGACACTGAGGGGATTTGGGGCTTAAGAAACTGAAGTTAGGGGAATGATAAATGGCTGTTGAGCAGCAAAACACTTAAAGCTATACTCTCCAACCACATGGTCCCGGCTAAAAATAACCCGAGTGGGGCGCCTGGCAGAGAAGAGAGCCGAGCACAAAGGACTGATCTGGGGTCTGCTCCGTCAAAAAGAAGAACTGAGATCAGAAGTTTAATATCCCAGCTTACAAGTGAAAACAATGCTTGTAATACACGGGGGACGATGTGAAGGCCAGTGTTGATTATCACCCACATATAACACACAGGGAGGTGAGGTTTAGGGACACACACAGTAGGGTGCTTTATTTAGGATTAACCGTCTGGCAGTAAATCTGCCTCTACTGTAGACTGACAGAAGATGAGCTGCAGCAGAGACCTACAGCTCTGATCAGCACAATGCTGGCCAAACAAGTAGTGACTGTGCTGCAGACTGTGGGATCCGACTATTGTCTTCAGCTAACAGCTGAATATATTTATCTGTTCACGTACCAGAGGGACTTCAGAGGAATCTAGGCCAGAGCAGCCCAAAGCTAAGCAGCCAGCGTGGGTCAAAATTAGCCTTCCAAAAATGTTTTACTCACTCTCCCAAGGGTCACACAGAGTGGTCTGTCACTATGTTTTATTTCTGGTTTGATTTCGGAGCTGGCTGTCACTCAACATCATTTGGGACTGGGCGGCTGAAAGAGACAGAAACTGTGCTGATTTTGGATTTGTTGGTCAGTTGGCCCACCACTGTGATCCTGGAATATCTGAAGAACTGGCATGAAATTTTGTTCAAACATTCATGGTCCTCAGAGGATGAATCATAAGGACTCTGGTGATCCTCGGACATTTATTCTATAAATATTGGACGTAGCTAACGTGACGTCACACACTGGTTTGTGGACTGCCATTTTGAAGCCTGGAGTTCAGCATTTTTGCTTTGGCATTTGCCATCTTGGATTTTTGGAGCCCAAAGTGACCATATTTGGACGAGAGGGTGGAGCTGTGGAGGAATGAGGGGTGGATCTGTGACTTCACACAGACAGCCCGACTCTGCGGCCAAGAAAAAGGTTTAATTGTATTGATGCTTTGATGTGGAAAATGTCACTAAACAGTGAAAGATCATATTTTCCATGAGTCCTTTGTGATGACTTCAAATGTCTTGTCTTATCTAACCAGCAGTCCAAAACTCAAACATAGTGACTGACTGTTGACCTCCAGCACACCTGCAGCCAGATGATCCATCTCCTTCACCTCCAGCCTGAGGTCTCTGCCAGACCCTCTGTTTTACGTCACGGCCCTCCAGCCTTCTGTTTGTCTGTGTGCCTGTGTAAAGTGCCTGTTTATGGGCTGCCTGCCTTTGCCCCTCGGCCTAGTTTGCCTCTCCTGTCTGCCAACCTGTTGCCAAACCTGATCCTGTCCAAATAAACCTTGTTTTAATCCTGTTTAGTCTGCTCCTGGTGACTTGGACAAGAGACGTTCCAAGCACAAGAGTTCTGAGAGGTCATCCTGAGTCACTGGGCCTCATGTAGCAACATTCTCTAAAATGTCTCCTGTATTTTCTTTTATTTTGCTGTTAGGAGAAAAAATAAAAGAAGTCGACTTAGATGCACCAGACGTCCTTAACCATCCAAATCTGCTCTTACCCAGGTGTTCTGGATGATGAATCGTGATGAATAACGTCCCCTATACACTATATAAGGGCAGGTGTTGTGCACTGTGCAAGGACTCTGATACATGCCCAAGAATTAGAGAGGTGTCACCAAAGAAGAAAAACTTCAGCAGTGGTGAAATTGACATACTTTTAAATAGACTTAAATAAACTTTAGCAAAAGTACTAATACCACACTGTAAAAATAATCTAAAATAATAAAATATAAAATAACTAAAAACAACCAGTGGGACATGCCTGGAACACCTCTAACAGGAGGCGCTCAGGAGGATCCTGATCAGATGTTGAACCACCTCAACTGACCCCTTTCAACACAAAGGAGCAGCAGCTCTACTCCGAGCTCCTCCCCCTATCTCTAAGGCTGAGCCCAGACACCCTACAGAGGAAACTGATTTCAACCGCTTGTATCATCGATCTCATTCTTTGGGTCACTACCCAGAGCTCATGACCATAGGTGAGGGCTGGGACGTAGACGGACCAGTAAATTGGAAGCTTTACCTTCAGGCTCAGCTCCCTCTTCACCATGACGCTAAGCACAGCGCCTGCGTCACTGCAGACGAAGCGCCCAACCACCGATCCATCTCATGCTCCATTCTACCCTCACTCATGAACGTTTTTATGTTCCTGAAATTTAAAACATTTCCTTGTGTTGAACATTCAATTGTGGATAGTGAAAACAAAATGGTTTTTCTCTTATCTTGTTGAGAGTGCTCTGCACCAGTAGTGTAGTGGTAGATGATGAGGTGGGTGTAGCAGTCGGTAAATGGGTAGCTTATCCATGGAAGAAGTGGGTATACTTTCCTATATATTCCAATGGCTTTTTGGCTGATGGGTGGGTATACCACAAACAGCCATAAAAACAGGAGGGTATACCCCGTATACCTGCATATACCCTCCATTACACCACTGCTTTCAATCAATCAGCTGATCCATCAGTTGATTGGGCTGCTTGAGATCAGCTGATGTAGCTGGGATGTGAGCTGAGCTTGACATCGTGTCCTGCCTGAACTAACTATGCTCAATTTGTGACCAAAATTTGACATAAATATATCTATTGAGTGCATTAAAAATTCTCAGATCTTTAACTTAAACCTGTAAAAAATGGAAGCAAAAACAAAACGGTTGCGTTTAAATCTTTGTCCAGTAAGTCTAGTGAAGAATTCGTGCTTGTAATTAATTCCAACAAATGGTGGCATAACTGATGCGCAACCATGCTGCCTCCAACTTGGAACTATGGAAGCTCAGGTTTATCCACAAAGCCCTGAGACACAGCCGTGGTTTACAATGGGACACACACTACTGACTCACTTTAAGTACTGTGGCCCATGTGACATGTTGTTAAAGCATGTTAACAGTCCGGACAGCTCTTATCTGGTTTATGTGCTCTTTCACATCACTGTGTTTTTCTATTATGAACCTCCCTCTGTGTGATGGGATTTGAAGAAATCTCCCATGAACTACACAGCCAGTGATCCTCAGGAGACCTCAGCATGTCGCTGCAGTTTATTTGGCAATCACTTACATCTCCAGTTCAAATGTGACCAAAACAAAACTCTGCTCCCTTCAGCACTTTACGATCAGGGCAGGAGAAACAGTCAACATAAACCCATATACCTGTGAAGGTACAATAAATAACTGCTGCTGAGGGTTTTTAGACACTCTGTGTATTATTCTTGCTGCGTATTAAACCAAACTGGCCGACAGAATCAGTGCCAGGTTCCCACAGAATTTATTGTGCTGTAATTAGGTTGGCTTGTTTCCCTGCGGTCGCCTCCACCCTCTGCATCACTGTCACCGTCACTACCTTTACACATACCCTGCGGGAAATCTGGATATTTCAGCACAGCTGCTCTCCGTAACATCAGGACACGCTCACACATGGAAATTAGCATGGACCAAAACACTCAGCAAACAACCGTATTCAATAAGATGTTAATCAATTCACTGGTGTTTCGGCCACTTAAAGCAGCAGCTGGTAACTTTTACTAAAACAACTTGTTCTCGTATTCGCTGAACTGTTTACTGACAGTAGCATGAGAAAAATATCATGTTGTGCTTCTAATGGCGTTTGCTATAATTCTCTGTGGCTGAATGAAATAAGCAATCAGAGCAGATGAGTCTCTAACGCAGCTGTCAATCATGTCAATCACTGC